TCTCGGGGGGGGGGGGGAGGGGGGAGGGGCACAGTCCCCCAACTTTTTAAAATACCCCAAAGGGACCCCTTTTTACATAGGAAAAGTGCCCCTTTTCCTTCGACAAGTTCCCCCTTTCCTTTGCAATTAGTGTCCATTTTCCATTCTCATAAGTGCCCTTTTTTTCTCTAGTAAGTGCCTCTTTTTCACGTACGAGAAGTGCCCCTTCTCATATATGCCCCTTTTCACCTCTGATAATTTCCATTTTAACAATGAAACGTGCCCCTTGTCCTTTCTAATAGGGGACCTATCCCTTTTTCATAAAAGTTCCTTTTCACCTCTTATAAATGCTCTATCAAAATCTGAAGGGTGCCCCTTTTCCGTCGACAAATGCCCATTTGACATTCTTATAAGGGTTAGTGCCTTTTTTTCCCCATCCCTGGTGAAAATGGGGCACTTCTCGAAAGAAGGGCACTAATGAGAATTGAAAATGGTCATTTGTCGAAGGAAAAGGGCAACCTATAAGATTTTAATAGGGGGCATTTTTTAAAGGTGAAAAGGGGCTTTTGTGAAAAGGAGAAGTGGCTCTTATTTATAAAAAAAAAAAAAGGGAAATGGGCACATATCAGAAGGTAAAAGTGCACTTATTGGAAGGAAAAGGGAACGCGTGTCAAAGTAAAAAATAAAAAGGGCAATTATCAGATATTTTTTTCTTCTATTTATCCTCTTTCGAACTTTATTTGTTCATATCATAAAATAACAGCTATTTACAACAGTGTTTAAATACAGAATTCATGCAATTGTAACATATCATACATAGTACAAAACATGAAACTAATGTGACATAATCACTAACTATTTGAAAGCATTTTTGTAACTTCGTTTGTATCGAATTTCTTTTGATTACATTCCATATCGAGATAGGTGCGAATTTTTACCTGTAATTCTTTTATCAAATATACAGCACGTATCCTGTGCTTTTCACTTCCAAAACATTCTCTAATATAGTTTCTATAGATAATAAACTGAGCAAAGTTTAAAATAAGATTGACAAGTTTCATTTCTCTTCTCTCTATTTCATGACCTATTAACATAATGTTTTCGTTCAAAAAGATTTTAAAATTAAACAAAGTATCGATTAATTTGGATACAATCTTCCAAAAAAGCGAAACCTTCTTGCAAGCCAGGAGAAGGTGGTTAGTTATATCTGGGATCTTACATATATCACATAGATTATTATTTTTAATCTTCCATTTACATAAATTGTCTTTACTGGGCAATATTCTATGAATATATTTAAAATTAAACTGCTTAATTCTGTTGTCATTTATAAAGTAAAATTTAAAATGAAGCACCGTCTTCCAGTTAAACTCATTAGGTAAATCAAAATAAGCGTTCCAAAAATAAATGCACGGCAGATCCTGTCTATTTTTGTCTAACATCAAATTATAATAGTGTTTGGCTCTCATGACCGCTACATCAATGGAGTCACCTGTTACCATTTCTATTGTTCTGGATTCCACTGCAGACGGTGGACTGTTTACATATTGTAACCTATTACGTAAATTCTGCAACCAAAAATTCGGAAATGCACTTTTTAACTTTGCCAATTTGAAGGCGGAAAGTAAGTAATTTTCTTGAAAATTAATACAAATGGAATCAACTTCTTTCCAGATGCCGTTTACTAAGACTTGTTTCACTTTAAGAATATTGTTTCTCATCCAGTTTGGAAAATACAATAACTCATTGATATCTGTAATATTGCTATTATACCAAATCATTTCATTCTATATCTGTTACTTTAAACATATCAATATATTTCAAATCAGCCCAAGAACAAAACATGTCAACATAGAAGTTAGGCAACTGTTTTTTTCTACAAATACGATACATATCGCTCTTTTTGCAATTAAAATGCAAAGAAAGAGGCAAATCCCCAATTTTCTTGATACAAAATTTTCCAAGCACTTTGTTCACCTCTTAAATACTTATAAATCCATGAAAGACGGAGTGACCGGCCTTCCGACTCTAAGTCAATCATTCCCACCCCCCCCCCTTCTACTTCAGGTTTGTGACAGATGTTTCGTTTCACCTTTTCTTTTTTAGAATTCCATAAAAATGTGTAAGCCAGTTTATTTATACGTTTAATTATTTTAGAAGGGATCGGAACTGCCGTGGCAGTATGTACTATCTGAGACATAACTAAATGTTTAATCACAACAAATTTTCCGTACAATGTAAGTTTTCTCATTTTCCATAAATCCAAGGTATTCTTCATTTTCTCTACTTTACTTTCCCAGTTTAAATTTTGAACGTCAAAAGAATTTTTACCTACATACAGAGTGGGTCAGAAAAAATGTCCCACTTTTTAAAAGTTGTATTGTTTGAAGTATGAATATCTAATCAAGGGTTTCATGATATGCCTTGATAGAGTTATCCTCCCAGTACATTTAGGTGCCATTTTCATTTGAATCTCTGCATGCATGACTGAACATCAGACAATCTTTACAAGGCTGCCAGATCTCACCTGCCCCAAATTGCTGGGTGTGGAATAAAATAGTGTTTTGAACAAAGACAGCCAGACAGACAAAAAACACACACACACACCCCCACACACACGCGCACCTACCCACACAAACACACACGCACAAACTTAAAGAATGATTTCATATAATGTGTTATCAGCTATAAATACATTTGTATTTTTAATAATATTTAAGAGTGTTATTCGATTGCTATTCTAGATTACATGCATTAATTTTTCATATTATCCAGTAATCTACTATCCTGTAATATATTTTGTTGTTGTAAATATGTATATAACCATTGAACTCTCAAAGTATATGTTGCCTTTTTTCAAGGTCTAGGCTAATCCGTACCAAAATATGCTAATAGTTACTTTTAAGTTCCCGTTACAAGGACAATACAAAAAAACATGACCAATGGTATCGAACGCTTTTTTGAAATCCAAGAACATCATAACAACTGGTTTGTTTGCAAAAAGACAGTAGTCAATAGTATCCTGAATTATTCTGGTACGTTCAGATGCAGAGCGGTTTTTCAAAAAACCAGCCTTATCCTGTAATTCAAGTTTATATATAACTTTCTGTAATCGTATTGAAAGAATACGAACTGCAAGTTTATAATCAATGTTTAACAGCGAAATAGGTCGCCAATTATCTAAAACATGTTTGTTATCTTTTTGTATATAATAAAGTAAGGATAGCTTGACTTTGTGTGCAAGACAACTGTTTTTTGTCGTAACCCTCATTTAGACTGTCAATTACCATATATTTGATATTCCCCCAGAAGCATTTATAAAATTCAACTCTGAGCCCATCGCTTCCAGGGGATTTGTTCATCTTCATTGACTTCAATGCTTCCCAGCATTCGTTCTCTGTAATTTTTCCCTCACATAAATTTGCATCTTCTTCATTCAAAACATTTAAGTTGATATCAGATATGTATTCTTTAAATCCAGCCTCGGTATTATTTTCCTTATAGAGTTTACAACAACATTCTCGTATACCTGTCAAAATCTTCTGTTCAGCTTTGATAATATTTCCGTTACTTTCAAGATAATCTATTTCTTTCTTTTTCCCTTTGGCTTTTTCAAGCTGGAGAAAATATTTTGTTGACTTTTCATCAAGCCACCTTGCCCGAGATCTCACAAATGCACCTTTGCACTGATATTCATACCACTTGTTTATCTTTTGTCTCAAACACTTCATTTTATCTATATCATATGCACATAAACCCTCATCTATTTTCTTACACAAGTTATCATATTCACTTTCCATATTAGCAATATATTTATTTTTTCTTGTATTAACATCAACTTTATATTTTGTACTTAATTCTTTAATGTTAATTTCACACATTTTCCAACTTAGCTGTTTATCATTGAACAAAGACAGTCAGACACACCAACACACACACACACATTTTAAGAGCACTTTTTTTTTTGTCCCGAAATTTGAAAATTTGGCCGATCGATATTTCGTTCCGTTGGGGGGGGGGGGGGGGGGGTAAGCTTACCCTTTTTTGGTCACCCGTTAGCACAATTTATTTTGTTTATTAAAACAAATATTGAGGGAGGTTTTCCTCCAAAACACCCACAACATTTGAGGGGGGGTTCGACCCCCCCCCCCCCCTGCGTGTGCGCCTTAGCGTTAGCACAATTTTTGTTTTGTTAATTAAAAAAAACATTGAGGTTTTTTTCCCCTCCAAAACACACACACAAAACAAATTTGAGGTGGGGGGTTCGTCCACCACCCCCCCCCCCCTGCGTACGCGCCTTAGCAGTGATATGCAGATGGGTAGTGGAGAAATATTATTCTACAGTGAGAAATTGGGTGAAATGATTGTCTTTGGCTTTGCTCACAGTGCTTAACATATATTCAACAAAAGAAAATGTGTTAGAAAAGAAGTTACATATCAATAATGAGTTTCAGCATACAAAAAGTGGAGTCTGACAATTTTTGTTGTGATTCTAGCTCCCTGTATATTTGCGGATTTGACATTCATGAATACGTAATTTGCGTATTCATAATTTATGCAAATTAACCTATGCTTTTTCAAATATCATAAAAATAATGAAACTTCATGAATTTGAAATAAAGGAAACATTTATTCAATACATTTACAAGATTCCTCACAAGTCTAAAGACAAATATGTAGAGTTTTTCTGTAAAATGCATAACATTAGCATTTTGTATAATTAATTCGTCCTTGTTTTCACGAAGTGACGGTAGTGAGGAAAATCGTAACGCAAAGTGAATGCAATTTTTTTTCACTACCGTCACTTCGTGAAAACAGCGACGAATTAGGCTATAACGAAAATATTTTGCATATTAGGAAATAACTAATTATACCATCATGTTCCTTACGTGAATATCTACAAACATGCAAATGTTCGTATTCATCGGTCATTCGAAGGCCGATATCATAGAGGGGGGGGGGGGGGGGGGGGGGGGGGGCGGTCCCAGGCTCCCAGCCCCCCCCCCCCCCATTAAGGGAGATGCTCAATTTTGACTTTCAAAATGTTTTTACACGATCATAAAGTATTCTTTATACGTCATACATTTACTTCAGTCAGCCCTATGTCTTGGAGAAGAAAGTTATCAATTAAATGTTGCGTAAAGAAAAGATAAACATTTCTGTCGTGTAGCGTATATATCATACAACGAAAAAGAGGTATATTGTGAATACTTTTCAGGCAATATAAGTATTGTCATATATTTCGTGAACTGCCACTCCGTTTTAAAACAAGATAAAGTGAAAATATACTTTTGGTACAAATATTCACGCAAAATCAAAACTTCAAAAGGAAATGAATTATAAATGTTTTGTTTCCAATGTGAAAAGAATGTTACAGCTTTAAATACCACCGTTCTTTTTCTTAAAGATTCACTCTGATCACATCGAGAATAACTTTCTGCTATCAGGTCATATTACAGGGGAAAGTCATACAAATGCTAAAAACTTAACAAATGCTAAAAACTTAACAGCTATATTAATTGGAAGTTATCAACAAAGGGTCGACTCATGATGTTCGATAAGATGGAGGGGACATTATATGCTTATTTTGGGGAGATTATAAATTGGTCTGGTGGTAATGGTCAGCTCTCTATCTTCGCCTACAAACCGACTCTGATCGGACCCGGGTTTGAAAGTTAGTCACTTCTTTCGCATGGTGACGCCAAAGGTCGGTCTCCAGACGTGGATAATCATGTCTGATTGACACGCAATCTTGAGAGTATCATCGAAATACATTTATTTATCTTGCTCGTGGTGTACCTTACACATATGTTAGTTTTCAAACGCACGATTGCATTTCTCCTCTCCACTACGTTTACACGAAATAATAATGTTGATTGTTTAAAAATGCAGTTTAAGTGATTAACAAGACTTTGACTTTCAAGAACTTGAGTTTAGAGACTAGCTGTGTACATTTCGTAATACTTTAGGAAAATAGAATCAACATCTGAACAAATGAATAATCCACGATGAAAATACTCTAAATACATAGGCCCAGTAGAAACATTCAAAATGCTTCTTACTTAATAACGAAGTAGTGGCATTACTTATAATCGTTGAATTAATATAGGACAATACAAAACACCACTTGATCGCATATTATACAACATATAAATATTCAGTAAATGCAAAGTCATAAAATAAACGCTATACAACTTTATACAAAAATGGAGTATTGTGTACAAAATATTATAGAAAACCTTTAAGATTAAGAATATACCCGAATCTATAAGTTAATAATTATGGTACAAGAATATAAAAAGGTGTTTTCGACGGGACAATTTCTATCCTGGTTTCTAAACGTTTTAGCTCTCGTCTTCCTTTCTTTTTAGGGGGAGGGGGCACAAATGTTGTTCGAATTGCAGGACGATGCTTTCGAAACAACAACTGCGCCTTTGGGAAACAGGTTTGGCGTATATATAATATCATAAGAAGGAGTTGCAATAAAATCGTTGGTCTGATCGCTCGCGAGGGACAGTTTTATCCCTACCGCAAGTGTAACACACACGCGAGTCCCAATTTACAACGACGGCAGATAACCCGTCTCGACTGCATGTACAAACAATAATGCAACTGTTCTTCTTTGAGATACTTGGCATAAATGTTTTCTGCAGCTCAACATTAAGATGAATGCTGCCTTTATCATAAAACATTAGAAACCAGGTGGAAATGATTTAGCGTTCTTTCCTTCAAACAGCCGAGAAGCAAACTCAACGGAGGACACAATCCTATCTGCTAGTTCAATTTTTCTTCTTGGAAGCTACGGCGATCATTCGCAGTCCAGCCTCGGGGTCGACTAGGGCCAGTGTTCTCTCATCGATGCCCAGCTGCTCGGCCAGGGCGCTGATTTTAAAACCAAAGAGTTGCATGAAAGAAAGAAGCTCCATGTCTTCACCTGGGTAAGGGAACGAGAAGGAAGGGAACGAGAAGGAAGGGAACGAGAAGGGACAGGCTTAAAAGACACCGCGTCTTTAACTTATTCTTATAGGCAGATCTTATTTTTGTTTTGTTTTCAGAAAAAGAAAAACTTCCAAGCAAAAACAAAGGGTTAAGACATTTGAAAATTTTATGAAAATAATAATTATTATTAAAAAACTTCAGATTTTTAAATTTGCCGACTGAATATCATTTTACTTCAAAAATATAAAAGTTAAATGTAAGTTTAAAAAATACAAACTTTATACAAAATCTTTTAGGTGAAAACACTGGAAATATTTCTATTTTGAGCCCAACTAAAGATCCCCCCATTCCTGAAATAATGCAGGCGCGGATCCAGGATTTCTTAGGGGGGGGGCCCAAATTTGAAATTATGCGAGCCAAATATTGGTACGTAATGGTGACCAACAATGACGTGATGCGGAGGGGGGGGGGGTCGGTGCAGGGAGGGGCGAATTTCTCCCTCCCTCCTCCGCGAAACGCGGAAGCTTTGACGTTTCATTAAATCATTAGAGAAAAAAAACGATTCGTTGTACAGTTTTCGAAAATAATTCTCGTCTGAATTTTGTTTTTCCCCTCTCGCGCGAAGCGCGAAAATTTTTAGGATTCATTAAATTATTAGAGAAAGAAAACAATTCGTTGTAGAGTTCTCAACTCTAAATTCTCGTCTGAATTCAGGATCTCCCCCCCCCCCCCTATCGCGCGAAGCGCGGAAGCTTTTAAGTTTCCTTAAATTATTAGAGAAACAAACCGATTCGTTGTACCGTTTTCGAAAATAATCCTCGTCTGAATTTAGATTCTCCCCCCCCCCCCTCCCGCGCGAAGCGCGGAAGCTTTTACGTTTCATTAAATCATTAGAGAAACAAAACGATTCGTTGTACAGTTCTCGAAAATAATTCTCGTCTGAATTTAGTTTTTCCCCTCTCGCGCAACGCGCGGAAATTTTTTGGATTTATTAAATTATTAGAGAAAGAAGACGATTCGTTGTAGAGTTCTCGACTCTAAATTCTCGTCTGAATTCAGGTTCCCCCCTTTTAAGTTTCCTTAAATCATTAGAGAAAAAAGACGATTCGTTGTACCGTTTTCGAAAATAATCCTCGTCTGAATTTACATTCTCCCCCACTCCCGCGCGAAGCGCGGAAGCTTTTACGTTTCATTAAATCATTAGAGAAACAAAACGATTCGTTGTACAGTTCTCGACTCTTAATCCTCGTCTGAATTCAGTTTACCCCTTCCGCGCGAAGCGTAGAAGCTTTTACGATTCATTAAATCATTAGAGAAAGGAGACGATTCGTTGTACAATTCTCGACTCTTAATCCTTGTCTAGATTCAGTTCCCCCCTCTCTCCCCCTCCTGCGCGAAGCGCGAAAGCTTTGACGTTTCATTAAACTATAAAAGAAAGAAGGCGATTCGTTGTACCGTTCTCGAATCTTAATCCTCGTCTGAATTCAGTTCCATCCCCCCCCCCTCCGCGCGAAGCGCGGAAGCTTTTACGTTTCATTAAATCATTAGAGAAAGAAGACGATTCGTTTTACCGCTCTCGAAATTAATCCTCGTCGGAATTAAGTTCCCCCCTCCCCTCCATCCCGCGCGAAGCGCGGAAGCTTTTACGTTTTATTAAATCATAAAAGATTGGTATTACCGTTCTCGCCTCTGAATCCTTGTCTGAATTCAGGTTCCCCACTTCCCGCGCAAAGCGCGGAAGCTTCACGTTTCATAAGATTATGAGAGAAAAAAGACGATTCGCTGTACCGTTCTCGATTGTTAATCCTTGTCTGGGGCGGCGGCGAAGCCGGCCCCGGAAGCATAGAGGTTTTAGGCGTTTAATTAAGGTCATATGAGCATATTTTTTTTAGTATACCTTATTATTTCGTGACACTGGCAGGTAACTATTTGGCGTTGGGTCCAGGGGCGGAGCCCCCCAAAATCAGGGGTTTTAGGCATTAAATTACCGTCAGATGAGCATCTAAGGGCCCGCCGTAGGGCCCTTGGTGGGATCCAGGGGGCAGAGCCCACGGAAGCTTAGAGGTTTTAGGCATTTAATCACGGTCAGATGAGCATATTTTGATGCCTCATTATTTGTTAACACTGGCAGTTAACTATTCTTTCTTTCTTGCTCTCATTCTATTTTATTTCTCTTTAATATACTTTTTCAAAAAAAAGTGTGGGGGGGGGGAGAGCTCGAGGCTCCCGATCCCCATCGTGCCTCGGGCCCTGACATGGAGGAATCTCAAGAATCACATTTCTTGCCTGGCTGCAAATTTAGGAATTTGTCATTTTTGAACAAACACATACAAACGTATAATTTACTAAAAATCTCGGAAAAATCTCGGAAATGATGTCATTTCAGCATTATTTGTAATCCACCGTTGTGGAATTAGAAATAAACCACGTTTGAATTTGATTTCCACTAACCCCCTCCCCCTCCCTATCAGTACGCCAGTATCTCCTCTTTTCCTTTCCCTTTCCTTTCTTCTCTCTTGTTTGTTTTATGGGGGGGGGGGGGGGGAGGGGTCAACAGCCTGGGAGGCAAAGCCCTTTCGGCCCCCGATCTCCTTCTTCCCCTTTTCTTTTCTTCTTCCTCTTCTTTCTTTCCCTTTCTCCTTTCGCTTCTTTTCCTTTTCTCTCTCTTTTTTTTTTTTTTTTTTTTTTTTGCGGGGGGGGGCCAAGGCCCGCTCGGCCCCCCCCCTGGATCCGCGCCTGAAATAATGATCCTGTGAATCGAAAATGACTATCGGTCCAGTGGTATAGATCACTTACCAGTACTGGGATTCGTCATCTTCGGGCACGTTGGATTACAATGCGGACAGGTGGCATGATCCACAAGCCTGTTGACGCACTTCTTCCCCGATGCTCTCCGGCTCTCAACCACCTCTCCCCCAGCAAGAGTCGCAATCCCGCTGCTGCTCAGCCCACTCATCCTATCCACAAAGTCGACATTCCCCCTCCCATCTCGCTTTCCTCTACCTCCTCCCCCTCCTCCTCCTCCTCTCCGTCGCTCTCGACCATCTTCGCGGTTCGATGTCGAGCTTGCCTCCGTGCTCTCCACCGGTACGTCATCTATGTCCTCTATGAGTTGTCTTGGGATGCTGGTGGTACGCGGTCGACGTCTTCTGCCTTTCTTGTTGTTTCGTCGCCGCGTTCGTCTCCTCTTTGCCGTAACTGTTGTCGAATCTGCAACACGCAAAGTGATGATAATGATAATAAAAAAACGGTGCTTATAAAGCGCTTATATACAATCGAAGTCTTTAAGCGCTAAAGTTAGAGCGTTACCGTGTAATACAAATTTCATTCAAAGTAACATTTCTCTTTTTCCAGGCATTTATTATTTGAATATTTCATGATAAATATGTTTAAATACGTTTTACAGCGCCATGGGTGTATTACTCACGATCATAAAATAATGTGTGTGATCCCGTAAACAGAGATTTTTTGTTGTTGTAGGCCCTTGCTACAAACCATAATTAAAGCCCTAAACAATTTGTTTCACAAAGTATGCGAGTCATTCTAACACAAGTTAACGTGAAGATATCAATTTTGTCAATGAATATATATAGCAATCCAGGAACTCTAACGATTGAATGGCCTTCCAGTGTTCCCTGGCCTGGTCCTTTCTGTAACTTGTTCCACAGTTGCAGAAACGGAGGGAAAAGAACATATCTCCAGCATGTTTCTAGGAGAGAGCGGGAGAGAGTCGCCGATCGAGTCAGCCAATTAAAAGATGATGATCGAGTATATAGCGGGTTTTTGAGGGCGACCAAACAGAATTATCAAGTCCTATTTTAAGATAATAATAATAATAGTGATATTCCCAATACATCAACAATTCAAAATCAACGATGTGTCCAAGTACTTTTCGGATATATATTATTACCCCGGTCATCTGATTCAGGCTTTCCCGTACACATTGTATGCACATTCTCCACTCCCTGGGTAGCATTCCGGCCAGTTGCCATATTACAAGCGCACACTTGCTCATCCAACCACAATAACTTTCGCATCCTACCGGTACCCATTTTAGGCCATTTAACATCTGGGTGGAGAGTGGCAAATGTAGATTAACGTCTTGCCAAAGGTCTTGCCAGAGGGCGTGCGGCAGGACTCGAACCTCGTACCTTGTGATCTGCAGTCGGGTGACTTATCCACTAGACCATAACACCTCATACCATGAGTTTTTAAACTTTCAAGAATCTTATGACTGCATGCATACTGCACGAGCGAGTATAGCTTATTGAGGGCGACCAAACAAAATTATCAAGTCCCATTTCATGATCATACCATGAGTTCCCAAACTTCCGAGAATCTTGTGAGTGCACACATTAGCTTTGCTTTCATAATGGTTGGAATTTCCTAATGGTATTCAAAAACTGACGTACCCGTGGTCGTTATCCTGGTCGTCCTTTCGTCCATGCTCTCAACCATTCCATCGACCTCAGGTTGGATTGACGGTGTTTCATGTCTTCTCGATCCTCCTCGGGACGGCGCTTCTGAAGGATTCACTGATATAGTAAAAAATTGAATGTGAATGATAACAAGAAAATAAAAGTCATAATTGTTAGGTGGATGGGGGTGCACCAAACCGTCATCCCTAATCAAGAAGGAAAAAACACCTTTTCGGTTTAAAAAAAAGAGCTCGGTGCCCAGACCCTTTTTGGAGCCTTGGGGGGACCGCCCAAATTTGGAAAGATACAAATATATTCGGTACATTTTCAGCATCTTCGGAGCACAATGAAAAAAAGACAAGCGTGTTTTTGTAATGTTGTCAAAAGTGCTATGCACATCCAACATGTCTAAAGTCAGATTCGTCATCATGATCACTCTTTTTTATTCGGTGGTCACTCAGACAATTATTTTTTACCATAATTCCTTTAAAAATCAGATCTTGATTTTCTTTCAATATACATACACATTCTTAAACATCATCAATACATGTTAAAAATCTAAAAAAGTCCATTGTCTAAAAAACATAATCCTGCTACTGAAGGACATCTGAAACGATAATTGTCGCGAGAAATTTCATTTCTGAAAAAGTAAAAGCATTTTTATTTCATTTAGGGGGGGGGGGGGACTTTCTGAAGAATTTTAACTCGGTAGCATACCTTGTTGATTTTGCTTTCCTTGTTGTCTGTTGTTGTTTGTAGACGATTCTCTAGGCTCTTCCTGATTCTTTAACCAGCATTGCAAGCTTTTATAAAGCTTGACATCTCGTACTTTGATATTACTCCAGTCGCTAATAATGAATATAACAGAAAGATACAAAGTAATCACTATATCATCCCAAACCTCAAATTCACGACAATTGAGAACTTGAGTTTTGTTTTTTGTCCAGTCAATAAAATAGACATAACAGAAACAGTACGAAACAGAGTATTCTCGATATCATTTCGAAATTCAAATTCACAATATTACTCCCGTCACCAAAGATTGATTAACCAGGAATAAGAATATTATTCTCAAAAACAATTTCCGCACTGATTTCCAGCTTTCTTAATCGTAAATTATAAGCAAACTGTTTTGCGCTAAACATCCCAGTCAGTATATGTCTTAAGTTTAATTTAGCACTGAATCTATCAAAATGCAAAGTAAAATACAAAGTGCAAATAATCTGATACAAGAGTTATATGGAATTTTTAAAATAATATTTTCGATAGTATAGAAACTAAACGTACCTTCTTCTAAGCACATTGTGGGCGTAACATGCTGGAGCGAACACAGTCCTGTGAGAAAAAGAAATTGTGAAGTGCAAGTGAGGAGAGTTTACCATTGCCATCGGAGGCGTAATTTCAGTTGCGTCAATATAGGCCTACCAGTTCTAATCAAGTCTAATCAGTTCCAACGAGTTCGTATGCCAGATAATTCAATTTGATGTTTGTACTGTTCTTTTTACATTTCACTGTTTGAAAAAAATGATATTCCCGCATGCTGTGTGATATAATGCGTCCTTGACTGACGCAGTCTTATGTCAGCAAATGACGCAGTGCTATGTCAGTAAATTAAGCATTAATAATAATAATAATAATAATAATAAAAACGTTACTTATAAAGCGCTTACCCCCGAAGACTCTTGTGCATCTCATCCAAACTATTAACGAACAAATCTAAACGATACGTAATTAGACTAGTGATTGTTTGTTATGTTGTTTGTTTGTTATTGTGTTTGTTTGTTTTTACCTAACTGCTAACCAAGCAAGGGTATGCTTGTAAGTATGGACCTGAGTTAGTAAGCAACCGACGGCTTTAAGTCCTCTTCGAGGGATTTGGTAATGAGGGGGTAATGCCTTGCCAACGGGCACTAGCGCATCGACTTGGTTTCGAACCCGGGACCTCCCGGTTAAGAGAAATTGCTATACCACTGACCCATCGCACCTTTTAATTTTCATGAAAATACCTTTTATTTTCTTCATTTGAATTAATCCATTAATGATCAGAGTTCAAAACTAAAATAATGACGTAACATACGACTTTCTTCTACATCCGTTTCCTGACTTACGTTGCGTTTCTAAGTGAGCCTCGCATCTGCCTCCCGACCTTCTGCATGTAATGCCAATGTCTTGCCTCGATGGGAGGGCCTTGCATGTTAATCGTAAGCTGAACTTCGTCATACAACCACTGGAATATGTAAACTGGGGCTGAAAAAACAAAATAATTAAACAAAATGCAAACTGACTTGAAGATTATGAATAAAGTTCAACAAAACTTTTGCTACGTCACTTAATAAGTGACCATCATAATTGAAAAAGACACAACAATCAGGATTAATTCAAACTACAATTAATAACTTAATTCAGTTCCCGTTTACAATGTATCTGGAGAGGATTAGAAAATGTTCCTTTTTTTTAGGAATATTGTTCCACCCAGAGGCGGACTGGGAACAAAACTCGGTTGCGGAATTTAAATGCGACCATCCAACTCATTCTATAAGATATAGATTTAAAAAAAAACTTTTAGGCCGCAAACAAACCCCAAATCTAGCGGGCGGCTAATTGGAGAATTTACCCAAACTCCCCATCGTATGCAGTCCGCCCCTTAACGATAACAAATTCTAATCCATTATGATATGGCTACTTACTTTTTAGAGTTTGGTGTAACCTGAAACCATAGAAACACTTCCATTTATCCGCGTATGTACCCAGACAGCTGTCAGGCACTAAACTGTTCCATAATCTGTGAAAGAAAATCAAGTGTAACATCCACAAATTTTCTAAGAAATTCTTAACCAAAACGGGTTAAATTGAAATTTCGCTATGCTGTTTTCAGATAAAATGACAAGGTTCGTCACACGGCTGCCGTTAATGTTTATATACCTTCAGTCAAATGTCTATTCACCAAGCATATTTTGTATTCAAACAGTAGGCCTATTTCATCCAAATAGATTATGTTTATTTCAGAAGTCATGTAACCATGAGTATTCTCATCTTATTCTATATCTAACGTCAGTTATCGGTATGGTATAAATGAGGGAGACCAGAGGCCAAAAGAATTCCAAACGGATTATTTCTTGCGAAGTGGAATCTGAGGAAACTACCTAAGTTTAAAATTCAGCATTTTCTCTTGAAGTAACGAGATAGCCAGGAACCTTCAATGAAAATTGCAGTTAAATTTATCTCAAATTATGCCTTGAAAATTGTATTAATTGCTCGATATCCCGTCAATATCCACGGCATGTCGGATGCCGAAGCGTCCTTACAAGAGAGATGGTTACACCCGCCAATCAAAAATTTCTGTCCGCAAATGTGGATTTTTTTTTTTTAAAGCCTTGTCGGCAAATCGCAAACATGCCAATATTGGGTACTTACTTGGTACCTCTTTGTAGCGTCCTTGCGGGATTGCAGTACAGGTCGAGGATACAATCTGACTGAGAATTACCCAAAGGCTCTGTCTCCAGGAACCATCCTGAATCAGCTAGACCCACCACCTTGGCTGTACTTCCTGCATCGTTCATCATGGAAGCCACACGATCGAGGTTCAGAAGCACACCTGTACCACCAGCGCTGTAGTGTCATAAAAAGGAATAGAAACAAATGGTTGTTGTTAAACTGAAAACCTGTTTGTCTTTACTTGAGGAGTTAACGTGAATCTAAAAGTTTGATGATCGTGAAATGAATGTCCATTTTCCAGTGTTTAAATTTTGCTGTGTCATCTTTAAGAACATTCTAAGTTCCGTCTCTGGCTATACTCCCTGCTGTATATATCATGATAGACGTACGGTCTAGGATTAAAAACACTCTTGTGCCACCAGCATGTAAAGGACATAATTGTTTTATTTATAACAAAATAGAATAGGAATGAAATTTAATAATTACCTGCTGCCTGCCAAGACCATTTGCTTAGCATCCATGAGACCTTCTGGTAGAAGATCCGTGATAACCTGCTGTAAGATGTCAGCTCCCATGAAAGAATGTGTGCCTGTATGACAAGAACAAAATGATACAGATTGTTCGGAATGATTCCAGGACAATACACGAAGTTCCAGGACTGTCGCTCTGGACAACTACCTCTGGAAACAACCTCCAAGTACCACTAATCCCGGACATTTACCGCCTTTAAAACTAACTACCATGATGATCTAAGGCAACTGCCAGGAAAATAACACCAAGCAACTACCCATCGACTGCTTACAAGCTGGAGAACCACCCCTGTTGTACTTACCCCTGGGTATAGTTGTCTGAGCGTAATTGGCGTAACTTTTAAGGGTAATTGTCCAGGGAATAAATTATCCTAGTTGGGAGGGGTTAAAAGGAGGTAGAAGATAGGAAAGGTGAGATCGAGAGAGAGATCGAGAGAGGGAGAGAGAGAGAGAGGGGGGGGGGGGGGGGGAGGCAATAAAAAAGGGAAACGAGAGTGAGAGACAGGGTATGTAGGAAGCCAATTGACATTATACATTCATTAACCATTAATACAACAAATGAAGGAACCAAATATCTAAATACCTGTTTCAGACGCCAACGACGTTCCAGTCCAGACATCACTCGAACAATATGGGATGAAACTAGAAGGTTAAGAAGACACAAGGAGGATACTTGGGTAAATCTTTACTGGACCAAAATATGTTTGTAGAGAAGGTCAAAAACGTGATTTTAAAAATCTCTTAATAATTTGAAAAGGAGAGACTAGTATGGATTCACGATTATATCTAAGGTAGATATAAGCTTAGTATCTCAAGGAAATATTTTCATGCTAATGTTCTAACTCACTAAGCCCAATATGATTTTCAAAAGTTTGTGATCTTTTAAATATATAACTTCATTCGGTTGACTTCACTTCTCATTTAATCTGTAACAATAACTGGTGTATTTGTCGATATCCTTTGGGTGTGGAACATGATTCGACTGGTTTGTTTACAGAATAAGATATCGATGCTTGGTCATCTACTTAAAACTTACACAACATTTGATTTCCACCAGATAGGGTTTCTTCAGGATTAGCTGACATGATACCCGATCCTGTATAAGAAAAAAGGAAACTAAGATATGATGATAATAATAATAATAATGATTTTGTTTAACCAGGAATGCATCATCAGCATCAGTACTATTCTTCCAGAGGGCCCTGCAATTATAATTACCTCCGCAAACTAATGGGTAACCACTCATAGACACCTGGGTGGAGAGTGGCAAATGTGGATTAATGTCTTGCCAACAGACGTTAGTGCCGGGCTGGGATTCGAACCCTCAACTCTTGAATAGAGAACTAAGTGAATTAACCACTAGACCACGGCACATTGATATTACAATAGCGAGAGAATGGGAAAGAGTTCACTATCAAAAGTCTAGGTACATTAAGTAGGCCTAACTAATCACAGAAGTAGCAGGTTCGAATATTTATATTTAACATTTTATTCTAGTGCTGTAGTGTTTAGTCATTTCTGTTCACCACAACTTAGTAAAAGGGTAACTCAGCAGTGTGCCCAGCATTAGCTAAGTTGGACATATCAATAATGGCTCGATAACAAAAAACATTCATGTACTTTCAAAATGATTTTAAAGTACGTCCGCAAACAAATGCAGAGTTGTACACAATAATGCAGTGGCTAGCCCCTAAGACCAATAAATCTATATTTTTAAAGTACAAATCAATTAATTAACCTGGCAGAAAGCTAGGTCGGTACCTGTTTTAGTTTGCGGCCATCCTCTTGAACTCATCCGATTGACCGAATGATTGTATCGATTTCGACAACTTTCGGCATCAAAGCAATAAAATCCACCTGTTTGGGGATATACAAACAAAAGATGTGTTATTCACCAGCTTAGCACCGATGAATTCAGATACAAATATACATTCCAATCAGATGTACGCATTAACTTACCATTGGAGCTGTACAAGCGCGAATATATAAGCCTGCGTTGATGCGTTGAATACAATAACAAAGTAAAAAAAAATTTGTTCACAGAAAATATGTTTTTATATGTATAAAGACTCAATAGTTTGCCAGATTCGTTCGAGGTCTGTTTTACTTCATTGTCATAATTAGTTTTAATGTCTGAAACACACTCAAATGAAATGAGCTCCATGGCAATATCTTGTCAATGAACTTGATGAAGTATATACATTTTGAAATATGACTGATGTTTAAGAAATAAGTAAATTTGTTATAATACACCAATTATCAACAATTATTTAATGTCTTGTTTGGATTTACATAGGACAGAAAATGAAGTGTGGGATTTTCGAAAAACGTACCTTCGAGAAAGATAAGCCACTTCTTGCTCTCATACGACTTTCGGAGGTAATACCTGGAAATCAATAAGGATGGCAAAAGAGATTTATACTGGAACTATGATATTCATACAGACGTGTATACACATTTTTCGCACGCAGTCACTGTTTCTGCGATAAACGATTAAATGTAACTGCTTCTAAAATCTGGAATGATATACCATATTCAATTCGAGCAATATAAGATATGTCAACATTAAAAAAGGGTAATGATGGGAAGATTGGTGGATCCTACGACATAATGAAGGAGAAGGCTAAAGATAGAGAGAGATGGAGAAAGAAATGACCAGATGGCTCTGGTGTGTGGAACTGCCCTTGGAAGAACACTTAAGAATATTTTGGATATTTCAGAAATAAATGTATATATATATATATATATATATATATATGTATTTATAAAAGTGCGAGAATTCTCAACTCTGACATGGCAACGGGTGTTCCAGAAAATGTAGGCGTGAATAAACACACACACAACCCAACACACAAGCAAGGTAAAACACTTTGAAATTGCATAATCATTTCTAAGTTTATTCCGAAGTATTTCTCGTAATAATTTTGTCCCTGTTCATGATGCTTGACTATGATTGAGTGATATTAAGTTTGTATGCCATGTATATTTGTTCATACAATGATTTGTTTCTGTATGTGTTTGCACTTCAGAACCTGAAGAAGGCCTCAACAAGCCGAAAGCTCGTAATAAAATTGTAAAGTACAGCTACGTCTCCCGTTCCTAGACCATTTTCTTCACGCCTATACGTGTATATAGGCCTATATATACATATATAATAGAAAAACAAATATGTTCTCTCAACATAAAACATTGGAAAGATCGTATGGAAGTAATGCATAGTATATAGAGAATACTGCCGAACAACGACGATAGACTAAAATATGATGAGGATGGGTGTGTGTGCGTGTGTGAGAGAGTGTGCGTGAGAGAAGGAGAGAGAGAGAGAGAGAGAGTGAGAAAGAGAGGGGAGGGAGTAGAGGAATGGGTTTCTCGATGTGGTTACACCTTGCCCATGGTGAGAGTGCAAACAAACAACGACACTACCGCAATTCTGCAGATGTGTTTAGACAGATTTCCATGCAGCACGGTTATAAAAGGGGGGCATCGATCGGGGGTCACCCACTAATATAAAAATGACCGTTGATTATTGATTATAAATGAATTTAAGTGAGACAAATGCAGTTAATAAAGTACACTGTTGCTCATAACGGTGGAATATTTTTGTTTATCCCAATTTATGGAATTATTTTAAAAATAATTTAAAAATACTAGATCTAGATAATAGTATACAGTCTCAGATTTTATTGAATAATAATTTGCCAATATGTGTTTTGCGTGACTGCTGAAGCATGTATATTATGCTACTATGTTTATCAACTAGGGGACCTATGCCCTTAAGTCATAAAGGACAGTAATGAGGATTAATGCCTCACAAAAGGGCTCTGATATAGCACATCGACACGGTGTTGATCCTGGGGCCTCACAGTTACGAGGCCATTGCTTTGTCACTGAACCATGACTGTACGCAGCGGGGGCTATGGTAGGGGGCAGTTTCCATAAATTAAAAAAAAAACAGAAAATGCAATAAATTTTCAATAATTTATTGCATTCTACCCCGGTCCCCAACATAAAAAAATCCTCTGGACTGCCATGCATTATGGCTCAAGGCATGGGCACACAGAAGATTTTTTTATGTTGGGGACCGGGGTAGAATGCAATAAATTATTGAAAATTTATTGCATTTTCTGTTTTTTTTTTAATTTGTGGAAACTGCCCCCTACCATAGCCCCCGCTGCGTACGGTCATGGTTCAGTGACAAAGCAATGGCCTCGTAACTGTGAGGCCCCAGGATCAACACCGTGTCGATGTGCTATATTAGTGCCCTTTTGTGAGGCATTAATCCTCATTACTGTCATTTATGACTTAAGGGCATAGGTCCCCTAGTTAATAAACATAGTTGCATAATATACATGCTTTAGCAGTCACGCAAAACACATATTGGCAAATTATTATTCAATAAAATCTGAGACTGTATACTATTATCTAGATCTAGTATTTTTAAATTATTTTTAAAATAATTCCATAAATTGGGATAAAAAAAAATATTCCACCGTTATGAGCAACAGTGTATTAGAAAAACCCTTAGCCTCTCGTTCAAAAGCCCCACATAAGCGCCTGCCCCCCCCCCCCCCCCCAACAAAAAAACCCATTAAAATATATATAATATATATATATTTTTATTTGTTTTGTAAATATTGTTCTCGAACCGCGTCTGATGCTTAAGTTAAGATTAGCATTTTGCAATGTTTCGAATAATACTTTCAACTTTTAAGCATGATCTAATTTTCTCATTTAGGCAAGGTTCACTTTGTTTCTAATAGCTTACCCTGCCGGTGAGCCATCATTGCATGTGACCGAACGGTTGGTCACGTGATGCAGTCTGAGTTTTTGAAGCTGCCCATCGAAGCCGCACGTGCTGAGCGCGGATGCAAGGTGCTGCAGCTGCTCCACAATGTTATCATTACTCAGGTTATTCAGATCCAGGACGTATTCCTTCTCGTCTAGACCCGGTTGGAACTGGTCCCCACCACCGGGACTAGGACCTCGTATGATGGGCTGGGTACGAGCGGGCAGTTCCTGGTCGTAATGGTCCTGGCCACCGGGGTCGTTGTTCCGTGGTCGCATCGCTGCTCGTCCGCGTCCATTGTCGACGAGGTTGAGGAGAAAGATGATGAGAGGTAGAAGGGTTTGTAATCGCTGAGGAGATGGTGTTCGTGACATCCTGGTGAGTTATTCGCTTTACGGTTTATTAATACCGGAGATGAAATTCTGTAAGATATAAATAGTGAGAGAGATGAGCATTACAACATTATACTTTATGGAAAGATTAAAATAAAAAGACAATCCCCAAAATAGGTCCCGCTATCTTTTAAATTGATTAATCAATTTATTTATTTATTTTTATTTTTATTTTTATTTTTTATTTTTTAATTTATTTATTATTATTATTATTATTATTATTATTATTTTTTTTTTTTTTTTTTGGGGGGGGGGGGGGCTGGGATTGGGTTCTTTAATTCGTTTCCAACATGAGCCTCATTTATAATCAAGAATAGGGAGTGGGTCTTGCAAATTATTCTTGGGGTGAGCCTCCTATATAGACCCCTATATAATTTTACACTTCCAACCTATTTCTCACCAAGTGAACTTTGTGGAAACATTCAAAGTAACACGGTAATCGTTACACGAGTGTTAACTGATCAATTCATTATATTTTCGGCCGAACAAACGGCTGACTTTAACACTCCTAATTATTCAAATTAATGGAGCAACCTTTAAGTTTTGTTACCCCAAACCCAGCGCCTACACCTACAACAAAGGCAGACGCAATTGATCACTTTGTAGTCGATGCCCGTTTTTGATCAAGTATTAGGTTTTCCTTCCAGATATCGCTTTCTCACGGGTATATGGAACAAAGACTGCTTCGAAGTAGATTTTTATTTCAAACATCGATTCTATTGCCAATTCCCTTGATGATGTAGTTTGTTAGCGATAAACTGACCTGTATAAAGATGAAAGCCGAAACAAGTTGGACAAACAGTATCCGATAGTCTCGAGAGAGGCAAACTGATAATGACAAGTTTTGCACATTTTCTTTAAAAAAAATCGTGTAGCTTTCAAGGTGAGGACTACGGTTATATTTCGTTAAAACTGCTACATAAACGGCGCCTGCTACAGTTAAAGCGCGCCAAATGAACCTCGCAAAGACCAGGCCACAAAAGTTTGTTTTATCCGTCTGCCTGTTACACTTCAAGGTCGTGTCCAGATAGAAATTTACATAATATCTGCAAAATAATACATTGCGTATGAGGCTGAGGGGGTTGGGGCTATAACCCTTGATAATTTCAAAAGTTGTGGGCAGACGCCAAGGGGGAAGGGGGGGGGGTGGGAGGCGAAATTCTCTTTTCTGAAATCCCGCTGAGCTTCCAAAAGGCTCCGAAAAAGGAGATGTGGGAGCCATCCACCCCCGCAGCAAATAACAATTATTTTGGTCTTACTATGACTTTTTAAAAATAAATCTATCAACAAAGGGGCCTCTCGCCCTTTTCTAGAGAGAAAAAGAATTCAGCAATAAAAATAATAATAACAAAAACAACTTCGGCGCTAATTATGGCTTTGTGTTGCATAAATCTTACTAAAAACCTTCACCTAATAATAAATGGAGGTATGTGTGTCCCAAAGCATTTTCCTCTTTCACGTCATCCATACCAAGTTGAAGTTTTATATAAATAGCTGAAAAGCGATATTCTGTTTTCTTTCCTCACGGGAAAATCATGTACGTGTGCGCCCGGTACGGTTTCAAGATCATGAATGAAAGCGAGTCCATGCCTTAAAGTTTGTGAGCAGTATACATGAGACGACGTCCCACATTTGTTAATTGGGTCGGGCGAGTTCAAAACTTGCTTTGATTTAGGTTAACAATTCGTAAGCAAGTTTTATATCATCACTTTGAATTTAATATATTTATTTACAGTCATTGAAAGGTATTATATTCCACATTTTATATATCCTGATTATTTCTGCGTTATGTAAACAATTTATTGACAGTTTTTATTGTACATATTTCATTGTGATCATTGAAAGGTTTGTGATTTGTTTTATCATCATCGAAATTTCCTTTACTTAATATACCTCAAATTTAGTCGACTTTTTTTGTGTGTGTGCGTGTGTAACTTCTGAATTGCCCTTTTTAATTGTTATAGATGGATATGTTTCACTGCCATGAAACATTTTAAATTTGTTTCTACTGCCTTGGCATCCGCTGATCCATTAATCTTGTAAAAAATCTATCCAATTGAATGCAATATAGTAATAGCTGCTTTACATTTTCTTTTTGATGGATGAAGTCACGTTCACTTTTTAAATTTTTATTGAACGAATATACGTCAATGTACAATTTACAACCATATTTCATGTTTTCTGGTATTTTAGTGTAAATATTAAACATATAACTTGAATTATTTTTTTTATTTAGGTATCGTTTGCATTAAACGAAAATATAATATATATTCGGCAATGCAAGCGTGTATAGTTCTTCAGGTACATGCTCGTAAATGAAGTATTTTTTTTAAGAGAAAGAAATTTTAAAACGTTATTAAAACATACAAGCAGTGAGAAATGACATGCTAACAATTGAGAAAAGACAATTTTTTTAACATGGCTATGATCATATCCATTATAATAGTAGCTTAATATCTTGTATAAAGTGACATATTTTTTTTAATTTTCCTCTTGTCAGAGGTACTTTATTCATTTACAAAAATAACCAACACACAAATCATTACATCATAACAAAATTTTACATTCACTTTAAGTATTTTCTTAAACTATTAAGAGAAAATCTTCAGTGATATAAAATATCCCCGAAGATTTTCCTTAATTCCCAGATGCTATTTCAAAAGCTCTCAAAAACTCTCCAAAAAAAAAAAAAAAAAAAAAAAAATACTATGTCCCGAGAGCCCCTGAAACAACATCCGAGATGTTATCCAAGAGTAACTCGTATTTAAAAACATGCCATATGAAAAAGCTGTTGTATGGTTTACCTTGAAAATAATTTAACATATACATCAAATAGATTGCGTATTGAGCATATGCAACGATTGTATTTATATCTGCTCCATTTGCATGTTTGAAATCAAAACCAGCAATTAATAATTCTTCGTTTAATATAATTTTTTCTTTAAAGTTCAATTCAATCAATTCCACAATACGTTTCCAGAAAAGCTTTACGCTCGGGCACTCTAAAAGAACATGAACGAAAGATTCTGCTGTTTTACAAAAAATGCAAAGGTTTTCATTTACAATTTTCCATTTGCACAGATTGTATCTAAAGGGTAAAATCCTATGAAATGTCTTAAAGTTGAGTTGTTTTATTTAATTGTTTTTCAATGTCTTAAACTTAAATTTTAATGTATCTCTCCAATCAAAATCAATGACAAGGTTCAGTTTACCTTCCCAAAATGTTAATACAGCTGGTTCTCTTTTCTTAAAGTCACACAATAGGCTATAGAAATGGCTAGATTTCATTGAAGATAGTCTTATAAAATCAAGTGTTCTTATTTCGTATAAGTCGCCTTCGAATTGTGAATTTGTTTTATCGTCATGTGCGTAATTAACATCTTGAATTCTTTCGATCCACATTTTTGGGATCGCATTTTTAAGCTTCGTATACATAAAATCAACTAGCAAAGAATTTGAGCCAAGCACTCTACAAATATGTTCTCTTGGCCGAAAACGTCCATTTTCTACAATGTCATTCATTGTTATAATGCCTTTTCTAAACCATTCTTTAAAAAAGAGAGGTTTGCTCTCATGTGTAATATTACTATTGTACCACAATACTTGATTTTCAACATTCATAACTTGTGGAAATTGAATATATTTAAGTTCGCTCCAAGTTACGAGACAGTTAACATAAAAATTAGGTGTTTTTTGTTTTAAGCATAACTTTAACATGTCTTTACTGGAACAATTTGTTTTCAAAATTACTAACAACGGACATATTTTTTCAATCCAGTATCTAAACATAAACTTCCACGGTATATCATAATTATTTTCAAAGAAATTGTTAAACCATGATAAATGTAGCGATTGAAATTTAGAGTATAAAGTATAAAGTGACATATGCTTTAATAAAAGAATCGTATTAAAATAGGTACAGAAATGTGCACAAATGCTTATCGTATGTGGCTAATATACACATTTTAAAACAGGAAAATGTGGCTTTCAAAACAAACAAAAAAATCTGAGAAGCGGGTATGACATTTCAAAAAAGAGAGGCATCATTAGCTTGTATTATTATAATGCGGCAAGATTAAATGTGGGTATACCCATCGTACAAACTGTCTTTAAAAGGAATATATAAATGAACATACTAGACTACTTTTAAAAGGCCTATGTTACATTGACCACCCAAATAATAACTAATGACCAATTAATTCACTCGAACATATAATACTAATTTGATTACTCTGAGTAAATCGTTAACAATATTGTCAGCTATTCTAACGGAGGTGATATTACAGCAATGTAAATCAAATGAATCAAATAAAAGCTACCCCGAGCCTTTTCTAAAACAAATATGTTGGTATTCAATAGTATTCATGAACATTGACTTTACTCTAAGCTTTGGCATAATGCCAGTATCAAACTAACAATCTAAGACAGGGATAAAAGAAGATTGATAAAAGAAGGAACTAGGTCACATTTAATAAAAGATTGAACAACTTTTTGAAGCCTGAAAAAGTGTCAACTGCATTTCCAGTGGAAAATTCAAGCGTTGCTAAGCAGTAGGTTATTCAATATTTTCATTTTGAAATAAATAAAAAAAAAATGATACAAAGTACGTACTTGCGCCAGTGATCTAGTTAACTATAATTAGACGCAGTTGAATTAACAAAATGGACATCCGAGAATGAATGAGAAAATATGAACAAAGCTTATTTTCTATCAATTAAAGTAAATTCAAATTATATTACAGAGAAAAACATTATACATCATACATGATATCATGGGAGATCATATGAAACTGAAGCCAAAGAAAGCAAAAGCCCGAGGTAGACCGAAGTCGTCATAATTTGTACATATATTTTATATGTATATATGTACAAATACATTCATATAAATATAATTCACAGATATGTAAATATAAATATATATATATATATATATATATATATACATTGTATATGCTTGTGGTATTGACGGGCATAATCCTTATCGAGAAGAAGACATCATAGGAGGAAGAAAGACTGTTATAAAGGAAGAAATAAGAAACAAGGATTGAGAAAGGGAAATATACCTCTAAGCTGTCTCTCCCTGATTATACTCAGGAACCGTCCAGAGAAAGAATGGGATCGCACAGAAGAAAACATCCAAAGTATTTATAATTCCACAATTTTGGTTCTCCAACCACACTGGAGCGTCTCATCTGAAAATGGATAACAGATTCCAAGAGCGAGGTACGTTAATGGGTTTTCGCTTGCGATCTCGAAACTCTCTCACGTTCTGCATCCCACATCCTCACCGCTCTCTCACTCGAACGCAAAATGAACTCTTGGTTTGCTATTTTTCATCCGCTCTGGGCATGGTGATGACCATGAAGGGTGCTATAACATAGCCAGCTCCCCGTTCTTTTCTCTTTTTTTCTTTTCGTATTTTCTCTCGTTCTCCTCCATCTCTCTCTCGCACTCTCCCATCCACCCTCAAACGATACCGCTTCTAACAATTGTAACTTCAAAGGGCGACGCCGCCAAGTACTTCTAACAATAAGCGATTGCATACAAGGCAAATAAAACGCAGCGGCCTGCAAGTCTTCGAGGACAAAACACACCAGTATACGCGAGGCGGTGTGATTTTCCTTCTCTCTTACCCGCGCGCTCTCCTTTTCTCTCTCACCACCGAACCCAAAGCACGCATTGAAAGAGGAAACATCGACAAATACCACTGAAGAGCGAAATAGCCTTCTCTTTTCTTTCCTTTGCGGACTCCCTTTGTAGCTTATGAGTGAACTCTAAAGTGCTTCTGTTGTCGCCGAAGATAATACGCCCTCTTTCTCTCAGTTTAACGGTCACTTAAGTTTTACACCATCCCATTCACGCAAAGCACAATGAGGATGAATGCCCTCAACTTGTGAGTTGACTTTTGAGGGGAAGAAGAGGGAAGGCATGACAAAAGGGTGGACGCAGTGGGGTTATAACTTTTGAATTGAATCAGATCAGTGCACACACCGATTCAAAGTTTATCATTTAACACGTTCCCAATGAAATTCCGTGTGAGATCCGTAATCTAAACAGAGTCCATGGTATTTAGCTACTAACATAGACGGGGAGGACATGTCGCATTCTCTGACGATTTTTAAGTATTTGAAGTGTTCTGGTAAATTCTATTTCGTATAACTATAAGCATTTATATATACCCCTCCCTTTACCCCCCCCCCCCCCTCTTTCTCTCTCCCTCTCTCACACGTTTACTCGAGCGTTTTGAGTACACGGAAGTTAAGACTCCTACCTATATTTCACCCCTCTCTCTTCCCCCACCCCCTTACCCCCCCCCTCTCTCTCTCTCTCTCTCTCTCTCTCTCGTAACACCCAACCCCTCATGAAACGCATCCCAAGGTATCGGAAAGCGTGTAGGGGATGCATGTCAAAAAGAAAATAATAACGGTAGGTAACATGAGCTTTGCTTTTGCAGCTTCTGACGGCGAAAGATCAAACGCTTATTTACTCCACACTTCGTTTCTACTGTTACTTGCTTTCCTGAACTTCAGCAGTGTTGTAGATATGGTGTAAGCGTGTGTGTGTGCGCGCTTGGGGGATGTGGGGAGACAGAGAAAAGATGGAGGAAGGGAAAGAGAGAGAGAGAGAGAGAGAGATAGAGAGAGAAGGGGAAGAGAGATAGAGAGAGAGAGAGAGAGAGAGAGAGAGAGGGAAAATGGGTTGAGACGGGGAGGGGGGAGGGGGGGGGGTAAAGATAGATGGATCATTGGAGATAGTGAGATGTCTATGTACATATATATTATTATTTACAGACAGAGGAAGAGAGAGAAAGAAAGATGGATATAGATAGGAGTACTTAGATGAAGAGAGAGAGAGAGAGAGAGAGATGTGAGTGAAAGGGGTAGAGGAAGATAGTGAAAGGGAAGAGGGAGACAAAAATGAAGGTGGGGGTAGACGGAGCATTGGGGAAAGAGAGTAGCGAGAGATAGGGTACTATAAAGAGAGAGAGAGAGAATGGAAGAGAAAGGGTAGAGATGGAGCATTAGAGATGTATATATAGCAAGTGAGGGAGAGGGAAAAGAGAGAGAGAGAGAGAGAACAATAAAACATACAAATAAACAACAAAACAAACAACAAAATAAAGAAACGAGACTGGGTATACATACAAAAAGATATCCTTGCATAAATGCCGCGTACTTCTGTAGAAATTAAGACTGCCGCCAAGCACATGTAATAAAAAACGCCAAGGGCGAACAGCATTTATCTTTTTTTAAGGGATGTGTGGAAAGAAAGAAAATTACAGCAAATTATTAAAATGAACATGGGCCACAGTTTTATTACATTCTGGCGGTTCCTTTGGACTCTAATTTAGCATTTAGTCTGTATGTTTGATAACAGCGATAAATATGGCTATACAAATGCATGCTAAGACTAACTTAGGGAAACATATTTCTCTCGACTATATCACAACGATAAAGTACTCTCTTGAATACATCACTGTTTGTATATTTGTACGAAGTAAGACTATACGTTTAAAAGATTGTATCTTGATTCAAAATGATTCAAACGATGTTTATTTCTCATGCAAAACATAATACACGAATAATTATATCACAAACAAATATGCAATGAAACGACAAATGTAATGGAAAAAGCACGAGAAAGAGGAACTAACTTGAAGCGATCAACGGAACTATTCTCACGCTTCATAAACCGTTCTATAAAACAAGAAATTAAAATATGTTTATAGTATTGTTAGTTTTGAAATACCCCTTTATCCAATCTTCAAAACAATTCATTCAATTTGCTGCATTTATTTCGTATTCATTCATTGAGTGTTGACCGGTAAGACAGATTAAATAAAAAACAGTTTAATGTGGGACACTTTTGTAGCTTAACAATTTTCTTTTACTCTTTCAGTTTGCAACTGGGTAGGCTATTGACGTAATGATGGCGATGATAATAAGGACGATGTGATTATGAAGACGATGTGTGTGCATTTTGGGTGTGTGCGTATGTGTGTGTTCGTATTTGTGTGTTCATAAATACAGACTAAGAAATTAAGGTCGAAGTGGGCACCTCAAAATATTGGAGTCTGTTTTAGTGCGTGTGTGTGTCCGCGTGTGCGCTCGCGTGTGTAACTAAAGATCTAAGTTTGTACAATAAGTGGCAACCCTGAAAATAATAGGGTACAAATTTGAACCTGAAAATATGTAGATATTTTCCTTGGACCGTCGGACGATGAGGTGTAAAATGATTTCTAGAGCTCTACAGGACAGTCTACCCTAAACTATAGTGTAAGTTGGGAAAATTGAGAACATGTTTAAATATACATTCCCCCCGTAAATATAATGATTGTAAATTTGTTTTTATACAACACTGTGAAACATGTTTATTCCGTACTCAGTAACTAAGAAGATGAAAGTTTATGAACATTTCTGTACAAGGCAAGTTGGAGAGGAGCTCGCATGATATGTCAAAGTATCACCAATGGGTGTTTCACTGATGACAACTTTAACAAATTATAACTTTCCGATTTTCAATCAGACGTTGGTCAAACTTTTACCAATTTGTGTCTCCTATTTTTTCTGTTTTTATGAGAAAGAAAAGTAGTATCAGGGTGGACTTCCCCTTTAGGGATCCAAGAAACAAGAGTTTGACCTTAAAAGGTTCGATTTTGGTACCGTCAGAGGTACTGCTGTTGTACCGATTTAGGGTGCGTTCAATCGAATTTTCGAAGCTAGAATCACAAACATGAATCACAATTCAAAACGCCGTTACAAAAAGCAAGGTCACTGCGGTTTGCGTTCAAGCGATTTTTCATCAACGCTGATTCTAGCTCATTGCGAGCCAAACCACTGCGCATCACACTGCGCAGTATGGCCCAGGAACTTCGGCGCGCGCTTTCTGGAATTGTTTACGGCCGACTGTCGACTGCTGTTTTTAGCATAGATCGCAATAATAAGACAAAGAATGAGAAGGTGATAGAAGGAAGAAACAAAGAATAACATAAGGAAAGCGGAAAGATAAAGTCGATAGAATGATTAAAACAAAGAATAACATAAGAGAAGGTGAAAGAAGGAAGAATCGAAGAATAACAAAAGGAAAGACAGAAAGACAGAAATAGAGAGTGATAGAATGCTTAAAACAAAGAATTACATAAAAGGTGATAGAAGGAAAAAACAAAGCATAACATAAGAATAGAAGGAAGAAACAAAGAATAACAAAAGAGAAGGTAATAGAAGGAAAAAACAAAGAATAACATAAAAATAGAAGGAAGAAACAAAGAATAACATAAGGAAAGACAGAAAGAGAATGTGAAAAAAGGAAGGAACAAAGAATGACATAAGGAAGAACAGAAAGAGAAAAGTGATAGAATGATTAAAACAAAGAATAACATAAGAGAAGGTGAAAGAAGGAAGAATCGAAGAATAACATAAGGAAAAACAGAAAGACAGAAAGAGAGAGTGATAGAATGCTTAGAACAAAGAATTACATAAAAGGTGATAGAAGGAAAAAAACAAAGCATAACATAAGAATAGAAGGAAGAAACAAAGAATAACAAAAGAGAAGGTGAAAGAAGGAAGAATCAAAGAATAACATAAGGAAAGATAGAAAGAGAAAGTAACAGAATGATTAAAACAAAGAATAACATAAGAGAAAGTGATAGAATTATAAAAACAAAGAATAACATAAGAGAAGATGATAGAAGGAAGAAACAAAGAATAACATTAAGAAAGACAGAAAGAGAAATTGATAGAATGCTTAAAACAAAGAATAACATAAGAAAAGGTGATAGAAGGAAAAAAACAAAGAATAACATAAGAATAGAAGGAAGAAACAAAGAATAACAAAAGAGAAGGTAATAGAAGGAAAAAACAAAGAATAACATAAAAATAGAAGGAAGAAACAAAGAATAACATAAGGAAAGACAGAAAGAGAATGTGGAAAAAAGGAAGGAACAAAGAATGACATAAGGAAGAACAGAAAGAGAAAAGTGATAGAATGATTAAAACAAAGAATAACATAAGAGAAGGTGAAAGAAGGAAGAATCAAAGAATAACATAAGGAAAGATAGAAAGAGAAAGTAACAGAATGATTAAAACAAAGAATAACATAAGAGAAAGTGATAGAATTATAAAAACAAAGAATAACATAAGAGAAGATGATAGAAGGAAGAAACAAAGAATAACATTAAGAAAGACAGAAAGAGAAATTGATAGAATGCTTAAAACAAAGAATTACATAAGAAAAGGTGATAGAAGGAAAAAACAAAGAATAACATAAGTATAGAAGGAAGACACAAAGAATAATTAACATAAGGAAAGACAGAAAGAGCAAATGATAGAATGATAAAAACAAAGAATAACATAAGAAAAGGTGATAGAAGGAAAAAAAACAAAGAATAACATAAAAATAGAAGGAAGAAACAAAGAATAACAAAAGAGAAGGTAATAGAAGGAAAAAACAAAGAATAACATTAAAATAGAAGGAAGAAACAAAGAATAACATAAGGAAAGACAGAAAGAGAATGTGAAAAAAGGAAGGAACAAAGAATGACATAAGGAAGAACAAAAAGAGAAAAGTGATAGAATGATTAAAACAAAGAATAACATAAGAGAAGGTGAAAGAAGGAAGAATCAAAGAATAACATAAGGA